TGTAAGATGTGAACATGCTTATAAATTTTAAAATAAAATTGTTTTTTTGTAAGTTGTGTTTGTTCAGATCTTATCTAAGAACTGTTTATATAACGGTGTTAAAAGTATGCTACTATTTATTTCTCAAGTAAGAAAGTTTTATCCAAAAAACTACATTTTTCAAAGAATTTCAATATTATAATGTAAAAACCATAACTGTGGGAAGTATATTTAAATGCCACTTGATTAGTCACAGTTGGTTTATGTAAGCGTACATATACACCATTGTAATATTATATGGCTTAAGCAGGAGGTAAAACAGTTATGAAGAGAGACTTGTGTTTTGTAGAATCTAGAACTGGGAAAGTTATAATTTTATGTTGCTGTGTACCTGATGTGATGCATTTATTGCTAGTTTAAAACATTTATGTGTAAAGATGTATAATTATATAGCCTTTAACAAATGGATTTAGTTTGTTTTGTAATTTTGTGAATTGGGGAGGGGGGGTCACTTCAGTAGGCCAAAATATCCTTTTGACTTTTGCTACTTTAAGCTTTTTTTCTGTCTAACTTTAATTTAAGTGATTAAACTAACAAACACAATGAGTAGCTTGTAGTTGATATTAACCCACTAAGTCCACAAACTTTGTATGTCATTTTCTGATTTTGGACTTGGATAGTTTATATGGTGTATATACTTTTGAGTAATCTATCAAAGCTCTGTGTCTTCTCAGGATATGTTTAATATGTTATTGTTCTTTCAACATTTTGTTCAAATATCTGTTGTAAATATGTAATCTGGACAGATGATGCTTATGAAAGTATTTCCTAAAATGTTATCATTATATGGAATAAGATTGCTGGTTATTATTATTGATTAAATCAAGGTTTGTCAGCTTAACTGATTAGTGTCACAGATCATGAAAATAATCGACCAATTGAAATTAGAATATCAAGTTATTACTATTTTTGATAATTACAACTATCCAAGTCTCTTGTGGGAATAGTTGATTAGTTGAATGTAATCAATTAATGAGTCTGATGATTAATCAATTAGCAAGTTCCACTTATCACGCAGCTTTAGTTGCAAGGGTGTTACAAAGCCCAAATTGTAGAATATTGATGTTTAATAAACCTCTGCCATAGATTGAATTTTTTTCCACACTGTGCTTTAATTAATTAATATGCAATATGATTTTTTCATTATAAAAATAATTTTTTATTGCCTATATGTAATTCTCAAAACATTTGCTTAGTATCACACTTTTAACGGCTAAAACAAAAGCTATATGTACCTATATAGTGTGTCTAGTATATTTACTTGTATTAGTGATCTAGAGGGGGATATGTATTTGCCCATGATAGTGAAATGGTTAAATCAAAGCTTTTGCTAATACCAGATATTGGAAAATAATTTATGTTTTGATTTTGTTTAACTCTTGGTAACATAAAACTCTATGATGTTTTTCTCTATGATAATTATTCTGGAAAGGACATAAGTACTTTTTTAGAGAGGTGGGACTAATTGGATCTTGTTCAGACATAACACATTATTCCATGTACTCTCATTGATTAACAAGCAGCTGACAAAGTGTACTATTTAAAGTAGGGGCATTACTTATTTTACTGATGTGGAGAGTTAACTTGGTTGACCTTGGTATCCTGACCTTAAGTATTTATACAGTCCAACATAATTAAGGAAGTCCATTAACTATTAGAAGGGTTAATCAAGCCTTCATAAACATTTGCATAGAATGTATATTCTGATGCATTAGATAACAGATTGCTTGTGTTTTCTGACTGACAAACCTCTTGCTCTGGTGTCTAATACAATTTGTAATTAAGAAAGGAAGTGTAAATTATCACTTGCAAAATCATCAGTGTTGTTTTGAAGTTCTACAATTTAAGGAACCAATGTCTCCTTGCCTCTTGTATAAAAATTAAGGGAACATCCTTGAGACATTGTTTTCATAGTCAAAAGTATTACTAAGGATGAACATTTTCAATTAGTTGATAGAATAGGGCTGTGTTTACACTGTTGTGCTAGTTACTTCTGTATGAAACAGGTTTTGGTTACAATTCTACAACACCTTTTAAGTTTTTATAGCAAAATCTTAAATAATCTGCCTGGATGTGGCATATTAGATGTACCAGAACAACCCAGAACATTATAAATGGATGTGCTCCTCGTTAATGTATTGATTTTAGTTAACACTGTAGGAAGTAATTCAAAGGCTCTCTTGGATTATTTTAGTACAGTAATTTTGTGTGTATTTTATTACTTATCCGTAGTTTAGATCGTGCTATATGTACTCTTATATTTTATTTACTTTCTTTTTTGCATAGACTTACAATAATCAGCCATAAACCACACAAAATAGTGTAAAAAGTGTTCTGCAGCTTCCTCTAAACCAGTTTGGCTGGCTCCTCGGTTTATCATCATGGAGGCAAGGCTTGCCAATGCACTAGACAAATTTTTGCCTTGTGTATGAATTAACAGAATTCTATGCTAGAGTCAAAAATGAAATTAATATTGCATTGTTTTTTGTTTATTACTTAAAACATATGCATCAGAAAGAAACATTCAGTGAAATATAGGCCTATTTGTGGAAAAAAGTATGGTATTCCTGTGATCTCGTGCTTTTGGCACAACACTGGAAGACTAATATTCTCATTCTGTTAAGCAGAATATAACTTATTGAGACTTTAATAGGCTTCTGTGATCTACTCTTAGCAATTTTAAACATAAAATAACATAACATAATGTTTAGGAATAAAAAGGGACCTGTTGGTCTATCTTGGCTGTCCTATCCTCCAAACTAAACTATTATAAATTATAAAACAAATTTAAAGCCAGTCCTTATCATTCATATACTTATCAAGCTTTCTCTTAAACTCACTGCCTCCAAAGCCAACCCATTCCAGAGGTCAACTACCCTGTTAGAAAAATACAACTGAAGATGACTCCTACCTTGCCAAAATTTATATTTGTGACCCTTAGTCCTATTGTTCTCATCATTAAGTATGAAAAAAGGTGATGCATCAACACTATCAATTCCATTTACAATCTTAAACACCTCAATCAGATCCTCTAACTCTTCTTTTTTCAAGAGAAAATAGTTTCAAAGATCTTAATCTCTCCTCATATGACAAACCCTCCATCCCAGGCACCATTCTAGTAACCCACCTCTGACACCTTTCCAACAATTTAATGTCCTTTCTAAAGTAAGGAGCCCAAGATTTACAACAATATTCTAAATGTGGCCTAACTGGTGACATCTACAATGAAATTATAACCTCTTTAGACTTGTATTCAATATTTCTGTAGATCCAACCTAAATTTCTATTT